CTCAACCTCACCTTCTTTCCCCCCCCCTCCCCCCCTCTTTTTACAATCCTCAGTAGGGATGTCGCGAACCACCCTAGGTTCGATTTCGAAAGGTTTCGATATTTGCGAAATCAACTGAGGTTCGATTTCGAAAAATTTCGATATTTTCATACCGACCGAGGTTCGATTTCGAAAAATTCGCAACTTTTAACCACAGCGGTGTTCCGAATTCGAAAATTTCGAAGCTTTCACGGTTTCTAAAATTTCGAATTCGAATATTTCGAAATTTTTTTACTTCAGGTTCGATAAATTCGAAGATTTCGAAATTCTTTGTAAAAAAAAAATTCGAAAACTTCGAACGCTTCGAATTTTTATAGACATGAAGTTCGAACAATTCGAAGATTTCGAATTTCTTTTTGCATAAAGTTCGAAGGTTTCGATTCTTTTTTAACGTTAAATTCAAAAAAAAAAAACTTCGAAGATTTTGAATTTCTCTCTAATCCAAGTTTTCAAAGTTCGAAGTCCGATTTTCAAGTTTTTCCACAGTTTCAGTTTCAAATAACGTTTTCACGACTCACTGGTTTTTACAAAATCAAGTTTAGAAAAGTTAGGGTGTGATATCTAGATTCTGCGAAGTTGGTCAGGCAATTAAATGAGGCGACGAGTGTCCCGGCCGGACGTGCTAGAATATTTGCCAGTGCAGAATTGTGACCGCCAGCCCTGGGGGGGGTCTTCAACCTGCATCACGCAGTAGTGATTGCACGAACACACTGTTTTACGAGACTCATCCAGTTCGAAACGGCCAGGGGCGAAGAAAAACCTTGATGCGACCTGGCAAACTAGCTCGCCACCCCTTGCACGCTGGTAGTAATCCGATCCGGTGAAGTTTATAATTGTCCTGGAGGTTTATTTTCTGGGACGGAGGACTCGCCTCGCAAAAAGCACAGAAGCCGACACAACTCGAGGTCGAGGAGCGTTCTACCATACAAGTGGCGTCGAAAGAGGAAAAACGGGGGAAAGAGGGTAGCGAAGGGGGAGGGGGGGGGTGCTTCAGCCTCCTTCTTCCCCTTGCAGGTATTTCGGACTGTTAAAGAAAACAATACGGGGAAAGAGGGCGTGGTCGAGCTTATTTTAATCTGAAATTATTTATGCATATGTATAGCTACTGTCGCTCTTCACTCTATAAAAGGTTGCGTAGATGTTCATTGTTAGAAACTCGTTGTCAGAAGCCAGTGCTCGTCACATGCTTAGTGGTTCGGAAGTTCAAAGCTGTCTTTTCGACCTAAACACCTGTGCCGATAGTAACAAAAAAAAGAAAAGAATAAATGCGGGAATAAAAAGCAGGAAAAAAAAAAAACTATCAAGAATTCGTCGGAAGTGTTCTATTCTTGCATATTCCGAGGTTCAAAACTTCGAAACAAGTTTCTTTTACCAAAATGTGTACAGGCTAAAAGAAACACGTCCCAGGAACGTGAAGTGAAAAAAAAAGTTTTCTTTTAATGACGTGCTGAACTTGAACACTATTAGAAATCTTCTGCCATGAGTTAATTTATTTCTTAACGTGAAAAAACAATGAACATATTATTTTGTATTCTGCAGATGGCAATGATATGTACTGTCTGTGGTGTTAATTTAAATGCGGTACCTCAAACAACTTAGACGAAAATAAATATCAAGTTTAGGTCATAATTGCATGCAGATACATGTTTGGACATTTCTTCGAAACTCACGTAGAATAACAATAATCACATCTTAAGACGGCACTTACCTAGGCTATACATAGATCATTCTTAAAAAAGTATAACATATCTACCATATATAGCTCCGGCTGCAGCGTGCTTCAAATCTGGCACAAACGATAATCGTCAAAAACCCGTCGTCCTTCCTCGCCCCTTCGGGGATTTATTTCTTTAAACCTAAGCATGCCAGAACATTGAAATAAACGACATTGTCTTTCGTAAGGAACGCAGCACCGCATGTAAAAGTTCGAGAAAAAAAAATTACGAATGTACACCACTACCTGAAATCAAATGAAACCGTCCGCCGGTCTTTCGAAGTTCGACGAACGTCGAACTTTTACCCTAAAAGTTCGAAGTTCGTCGAACCTCTGACTTTTCAGAATTCGAAAGTTCGAAACTTTTCGAATTCTCTTGATAAATAAGTTCGAAAGTTCGAAATTCATCGAATTTGTTGGTCAGTCAAGTTCGAAAGTTCGACAAGCATCGAACCTTGCAGCGCAATAAGTTCGAAAGTTCGAAAAAGATCGAATTTTTTAGCGTAATAAGTTCGACGGTTCGAAAAGCGTCGAACTTCTTAGCTTAACAAGTTCGAAAATTCGACCTCCGTCGAATTTTACGATATAAAAAATTCGAAAAATCGAAATCTTTCGAACCTTTCGAATCGCTTGATTCGATCATCGAAACTTCGATTCGAAAAAAGTTCGCGGCATCCCTAATCCTCAGTCACCTCGAGCGCAGGAGAAGGGGGGACAGAGGACCAAGGACGTCATTAAGGAGGTTATTTTTTGCTTGTTTAATTGCAAAAGCATTATCTGTCTCATGGAGCTAGCCGACGTCATCAGCTTTGAAACCGCGCCAAACGGCACATTAAATCCTCTTTCCAAATCAAGCCAGCTAGCTCCCAGCTATGAAACCACGCGCAAAGTTAGCCACGGCACCTTTTACACTTCAGTCCCATTGGCTGGCGTGCGTCTACGAGGCTCCCATTCGCCGGACACGCAGCGCCATAAGGTGGCCGGTCGTTGAAACTCACATGCGCGTCAGTTTCAACGACTGGCCATTTTATGGCGCTGCGTCTCCGTCAATGCACCAACACACGGAGAGAAAGTATGAGTGCATGTTTTCGCATTCGCAACTCATAAGAAGTGCTTAGGTGTACCTCGAGCCTTTTTTGTAATTTTAATATGCCTATAACTTTTAAAATAAAGCAAACCCTTTAAAAGACTGAGGGATAGTTAGAGTACATATTAAAATTAAAAGAGCTGCAAAACTTTTTAAAAATTTTCGCTAAATACTCTTTGGAATGGATCCTCAACGTTCGTAACCTACAAGACATGCACAACGTTTTCTCTGAATGCCCTACCAATTGCAGAAAAAAATTGGAGCAAAACGAGGAGCGTTCACGCACTCAACTCGCAACCAGAAAAAGCGGCCACATTTTCTGGTGCCAATTAAACGCCGCCGATTGTCACTATGACTACACGCCGAGGGTGGCAGTGCACAGGGTACATTTTGGGCTTCACGCTGAGGGCGGCAGTGCACAGGGTACATTTTGGGCTCCTTGTTAGTCTGGTTTCATCATCGCAGTGATTGAACACGAGATGTAACTACCATCTCCACCAGTGCATCGGAAAGCACTTGCCAGTAAAGTTATTGTCGATTTGGATTTATCTCGAGAACTTTAATATTCTAAGTCACAACAACAGAGAAGCCGGGACAGTTCATATTAGTCTTAATAAAGGGCCAGGTCAGTTGCACTCCAGTTCCCTTTCTAACTGGAGGGAATTGACAAAGGGAGCATGTGCGTCTGCTATGGCCAGTGGATCACCGTTGCTGCATTTATGGGTTACGACAGAGACCAATCTAAGCATGTGCATTGTGCTGCACTTCGCTTCATCTTGGAGTCGGAGTGCAGCCGGCGTTCGGAGCCAATGGAGCCGATTAAGCAGCGTCAAAAGTGCAATGTCATGGCGTTCGTCATTTCTCTCTGCGTGCACTGTTACCGGCTGAACCAATCAAGCGTAGGGTAAATGTGTCGTGACCTTGCAGGAATGCACAAACAGGGACTTGCATCTGTTTGTGTGTACTCTAGCCTCCGACTGTGCTCAGACTGATGGGAACTCCAAATAACTTTCACTTTCAGAGAATTCGGAATTGAGCAGAAGTGAAAGTGGTCCCCACGATATGTCGGCAGGCTTTGTGAAGGAGAGACTGAAAGAAAAAAAGTCCACTTCTATCCTTGAAATTGCACCTACAAAACAGTTTCCGAAAGAGTGGTGTGGCATTGCGCTTGCGCTAATGCCATAACATCCTGAGAGATACTCCCGAAAGATAACCCATCCATATTTTCGGCACGATTTGCTTTTTTTTTTTTTTTTCTGAAACACCGAAAGATAGTTAACTTCTAGCAATTGCGGGGGCCCCGGTCAGTGGTGACCTTGGCAGAAATGGTGTTACTTAGCCGCGGCAGGAGATAAGGAAACATTGCCGACTGGGAACAACAGTCAAATTTGGTTCGTCACTACCCCCTGCGATCGCAAGTTTCAGTCACAATCTAAAGCTGTCATTTTTCATTTTAGAGCGCAAGTCTTAGGCGCCCCTTTCCGGCTTGAGCGGCGTCGCCGTCGGCGTAGCTGCGCGTTGCATTATGGGACGTCTCCCATAACGACGTCACGAGGGAACACACCACTACAGTCATGTCTCGATAATGTGGATGCCTCCGTTCCCCAGAAAAATTGTTCATAGCGTGAGTCGTCCACTTTTAGCGAATCGGGGTCAAAATGCACGCATCAACAAACAACAAAAGTGGGCAAGAGTTCCTTCTTCCCCACTTCTCCAACCCGTTGGGGGAGAGGGGAAGGAGGAACTCATATCCGGACCCTCTTTTGTGTCCCAGACGTCTCTCCCCGGAGCATTCGACATTTGCCAAGTTTCCACCCGTGCGGCAGGCGCAATACTGGCAATGCAAAAATGTAAATAATTAGCAATTCCACATCGCCAGTTTTGCACGAGTGCCACACTACTGTGCTTCCCATGCGCTCAATATCCCTCTAATGTTTACTGATTCAGCAGGTTTCCGATTAGAACCATCTGGTTATTTTCAATAATTAAAGAGTTAATTAGTAAATTTAGGGTAATTATTCAGATAATTGGTGTTTTCTGCAATGCGGAGTTTGCTGGGGCTGGCAGCTTGTTCCCGAAAAGTGTGTCTTTGCAGAAACGGTATAAAATGGGTGTGTGTGGAAGACGACGACAGTATTCATCTTTTTGTTCACTGTGCAGTGGGACAGGTGAAGGCGGCGCTGCTCCTCTCGGAGGAGGGGTTCCGGGAGAAGTACCACGCGGAGAAGCCGCAGAGCTACGACCACAACATCGTCTTCTACGGCCTGGGCCCCATCAAGAGCCACGCCGCACTCGAGCTGGCCAAGAAGGCTGGCTACGCCCTGTACGTAGCCTCTTCCTCAAACACCGTCTGCGCAAGCACCTCGTTGGATCCCGTGTACAGGATTTCTCCCAAAACATTTACAGGATTTTTTTTTTGCTCGCCACAAAAATAAAGTATGCATCGCCGAACGCTCAATCTTTGGCATCCGGATCAAATCCCCAGGTTTCAGAACTGTCATTCAAGAGTATGCAATTTTCTGAAACTTTCTATGGGAAAATAGGGCCTATTTTTGCTAGTTTGCGCCATTCGGCCCAACGTATATGTGGGCGTTGCCGCCACCTTTTTTCCATTGAAAATTTCCGTAAGTCGCTTATAACTTTTGAATGTGATAATGGCCCGTTGCAAAACTTTGGCATATGTTTCAGACCACTAGCTCTACACTCGAGCAGAGACCGAGCGTTCAACAATGTAGTTTATTTTTGCGAGAAAATGCTAGGTTTCGTTCGAGGACACCCTGTACTCGGGCATGAGGTGAAAACATTACCTTGCACGTGTTTGTCTGACCCCATAACGTCACAATGTCATGAGAGCCAAGGTCACAGACCTGGTTACGTGACACGATGTGTCAATGTCGTGTGACCCGACATCAGATAACGTCAATTCACCCTCTAAATGTAGCGGGGAAATTGCGTCACGTGACCCGACTTCATGCAGTGTCAGGTCTCATGGCATTAATTTCCCATGAAAAACACCAAGTGCTACCATACCTTCATTACATTTGATAGAGAATGTCTAAGCTGGGTTATTTTTTACTTGTTCAATTTTGCAGTGCAAGGGAGTACAGTGGAGGCTGGGAGGACTACTGCAAGAAGAAAAGACCTTCAGGAAACTGACATCACCGACTTGGATCTTTCGTGTTCCTCGCTACAGGACTGCCCACTTATTCCCATTGGTCAACCAGAAAACTTTTTTATTGCATGAATTTCTAAAAAAAAAAAAAAAAAAAAAAAACAAGCAGACCTCTGGGTTAAGTTATACACTGACTGCAGTGTCCAGCCTAGCTGGAAGACAGTATGAAATGCAGGACACGAGTCTTCCAAGATGTATCATCCCAAGGATAGTTTGTAACGAGTAAAACTCGAGAACAGCAAGCAACAGTCTACTACGAGTGCAATAGGTACTCTCGCTGCTCAGTCTTCCAAGGCCATGAGTGTTCTTAACCTTTGCTGTGCATTGTCGTTTGAGTAAAGTGGTAAGTGAAATGCTTCGACATCTTTTTATGCACTGTTATATTTTTCTACAATATTTGCAATGGAAAAAATTTGTTTGGTAAAAAAAAGGAAAAAAAATCTTGTCAATAGAAGCTGCAGTTGGTTTCTTGGCAGTCTTCCAGGCAAGTATGAATAGCAGTGTTACCGTTGTCCAGATGCTAAAAAGGCGGCACGCAAAACACTAGTCTTCCCCCAAATGTCGTCGAGGTTCTTCCGTGCAGAGGCATGAAATAAATAAAACGTGCTTCCAGAGTCATGGTGGAACAAGTTTTAATTCATGCGCTTACCCAAGAATCCCTCCCCTGGATCGAGACACTGGAGCCAACGCTGGTCGCACGGAGCAATATTAAATAAAGCGCTAGGAACAACTCCGTCCGGCTCGTTGGCCGTGCGTAATTGGCGACGTGACACCCCCGGAAAAGGCTCAGGGTGGCGGGCATGCATAACGGACCTTTTGCCAAATTACTCCGACACCGAGGGAAATGCTGGGAGCATAGGTGCAGCTTTGCAATTTTATTTTAATGTCGAGGGAGCGTCGATTGGCGGGCCAGTCGGCGTTATGTCGCAGAGTGCTGGGGCGTTATTGGCGAGAGTGATTGCAGCTTTGCGCACACTTGCTCACCACCGATCACAGTACTCTGTGATATCGCACCGAGGGGGTAATAGGTCGATGCCCCCTCGATACTACTAAAAAATTGCGAAGCTGTACATGCGCAGCGTGGGCTCGCCTTATCAGTATAAAAGATTCAAAGTTAATGACCAAAAATGCGTCAACGAATGCCTTACGTGCAATCGCAGCATGTTCTCCGCTGCTCGAGTAATTTGGCAAGGGGGCCATCGGTGACACGTCGCACTCGGGAATGGCCCGGAGTGGTGGGCATACTGGCGAAAATGGCCCACGTGAGAGGCCAGTTCCCGAGATGGAGTCCTCCCCCGTCAAATCGGTTCGGCATCGAGGAAAACTGACGCGCGTTGCGGGGTTTCCGAGTGGATGATGCGGCAGCCAGCCTACAGATGCATCGTGGACCTGCAACAGGTTTGTAATACATTGTTGAAAAATCGTTGCACAGCCTCGAGCGGGAAGGGATATGGCATTAGCGAGAGGTTTTCAGTTTTAAACGGAATATGTTGTGGGGCTAGGTTTCGTAACGAAAGATCCGCATTACGTTTGAGAGTCAAGGCTGGCGTTTGAGAGTCGAGGCTGGTTACGGCCATACCTTAACATCCCTCTCGACGAGAGACCATGCCGGCGCCATCTACCAAGTAGGGAACACTTGCAGCCTCCGTACAATTTCTATTTTTTCGTACATCATTATTTCTTGGTTCGGAAGACTTTTGACACTGTTATAAACAACCATTATAGTGCAAAACCTTCGCTCTAACAAAAGGCAGCTCCAGGGTCACCTCATATAGTGCCAGCGCATTCTCTTGTCGTAAGAGGACACAAGAGCACGGTCTAAGTGAACGCAAGTGTGTGAACGGGCCTTTACACTCGACCGCCGCTTCCTTGTCTTCGACGAGAAGTTGGGGATCTACTCGGATTGTGACATCGTGATAGAAGCGGATTAAATTTACCGTCAAAGACGAAACGGCGGGATGCATTCGGTGCATCCGCATGCTCCCACAAGGCAGACCAGTGCCGAACGCTTCAAAGCCTTCCACGAACACAAAATGCGGAAGGAAGGGGAGCCTCAACGGTGCATTACTGTCGCAGAGTCTCAAATAAATTTAAGCATGTCTTCGTCGTATCTGATAAACTCCCAAAGTGTGCAGGATATGTTGCTAATAAGTTGGGCCCGTGCCGCGTGTGAGTGCGTGAGCACGGCGAGACAAAACGGGCTTAACAAATCGTAGCGAATCAAAAGAAAACCCTAACAAATAATAGCCTGTGCAACCTCGTGCAGCATGTGCTCGAGATCTCGCCACATTCTGTGCGATGCTCAGGTTTATCAGGTGTAATTCAGACGCGCTTAATTTATTTTTTTTTTTTTTACCGATTCGACATGTAAATTGGGAGACACGCGAGTGAAAATGCAGCGTAGGGCATGGGTATGCCTTGAGAAAGGCAGCATTGCTGACACACATCTACCTAGATATGTGTGTGTCCACATGCACTTAAAGGCCGACGACCAGACTCTAGATTCTGCAAGGCAGAAGATCCTCATCACCATGGGGGAGGAGGAAACAGGCAAAAGTTGACGGGGTAAGAGGGGGAGAAGAGGAAGCGGGGGAAAAGTGGAAAGTGCGAACTGGTCATCAGTTTTTAAGGGGACACATGTCGGGGCAAAACATTTTTTTTACATTTAAGATAACTGAATGAAACTTTTACAAGTTATAGGGCTTGTTTGTTTTGGTATAGCTTGTTTTTATGTTCTGGATGCAATGCACTAGCAGCCATAACCTTGTTATTGAGCACACATGCATGCACACAACAAAATGTGAGACTTTTTTTTTTAAATAACTGAAAATTGCAAAAATGCTATTTTTGAAGGGCTAACAAAAGTTTCTTAATTTTTTTATAAATATAAAAAAATGTATTTTTACCAAACCTTGGTAGTAGTTGCATTCTATGTATCCTAAAGCATATGCATGCACCAGGGGAAGGTTTTTTTGTTTTTTTTTTCTTATTCATTTACAAAATTGAAATTAAATTTTTTAAGTTTATGGTGCTTAATCTTCTTGTAATAAATCTGGTGTTTGCTTTCTGGATTATGTTACCAAACTAGTTCTGTGTTCAATAAACAAAATCCATGGATCGAAGCATATTTCTACCGTGTCTCTACTTCATTACGTTTGAATAAGTGTTTTTTTATTAATAACCGTATATTAATGGTGATTTATGTACGATACAAGCTTCTTTGTGAACTAAGACAGCAGGCGTTTGTCAAGGTATGCTGTGTATGATAATTTTTGCGTTTGGACTATGCTAAGTGTGGACTATGCACTGGGAGCAGATTATCTAAGCAAAAACTTTTATTTTTGACCCCTAATTTGCTTTTACAGACTACACACCTAATGCGGACTATAGTCCGGAAAATACAGTAACGGTAAGTATGCCGATAACGCAGTTCATTTATAATTTACGGCGGGGCTGTTAAGGGCTAGTTTCCCCAGGATTTCATGATCCGAGTTCATGATCTCAACAGCCCAGCACGTAAAAGTTCTTTGCTTCACAAAGAAAGCACACGCCATATGCAAAAACACTGAAAATGACACTGGCCAGAAGCCCTACTTTGAAACGATTAATAGCCTTCATAACATCGGGAATATCCACCGCCGCTTTAAAGTTCCATGTTTAACTGTCACACTAATTTAAGCACGTGCAAAGCTTCGCTGTAGTCACTGAACGGTCCACTCCCCGCGTAACAGTGCCATTCATAGGCTTCAATGACCGTGGCGCCATCTGGTGGTGCACGTGACAAAAGGGGACAAAAGTTGGATGCCTCAAGAGATGGCGTTATTCCACCTGAGCCTTCTTATACCGTGGCTGGAAGCATCGTATAAGCCAAGCTAGAAACTTATTTTTGGAGGATGTTGGGCGAAGACTCGACCTTAAAAAGAAGCAAACTCGGTGCCTTACCCGAGGCTCTTCCGCCGCCTTTGAAAGGTCATAGAGGAGCGAAGCTGGTGGTTCTGAAGGTTGTAGAACTCCGAGAAGTCCAGCCGGAATCCCAGACCCTGCAGGTTGATGTCGTCGTGGCAAGACAGGCTCACCAGGAATCCCTGAACCAATTTCTGTCGAGGCAAGAAAGAGACAAACTTGAGCGTGTCTCCGTCCTAAGACTTGGTCCTTCCAGTGCTGGTGAAAAGTCAGTCATTCTGTGACACCTTTCGAGACAAGGAGTCATAAAAAAAGATATAAATAAACCTGCACTTGAAAACACAATCACAAACGTTTTTCGAGATCTAAGTGACTTGCTTGTCACCACTGCCCGAGAGATAAAAACCATGTCAATAAAAAAAGTTAAAAAAAAAAGACGCTTCTCAAGGGTGGTGGGCTGCAAAAATGTGATCTACAAACCAATTACACTAATTTAATCAAATGGATTCTAGTACCCCGTCTTCTACCAGACTGTTAAGGCAGCCATGTTCTTGGATTGTCTAGAGCATCGCAAAAAGTTGTTACAACATGATAACGCAAAAAAATCATGACACCTAGATTAGGGGGAAAACTTGACTGAATAGTTTGTTTCCCTTGGCCAGCGAGTCATCCCGCTAAATTAAGGTTGCATGATGTCGCGTGACAATGCATCGTGTGACACGGTGACATCATGGTGTTGCATGACACTGACAATGTATGACATCATGACATGCACCGTGATATCACATCATGCAGTCTTGTGACCATGTGGAACCAACCACATGACCATGTGTAGTGGCACTAACCCCACAAGTCAAACCGGCAAGGGTGATCAGTGGCCGAGTGTGCAAGGGTATTGCAGTTTGGAGCTTGTGGTGCAAAAGTTTGAGCTGCAGAACCTATAGAGATCATGAGTCCGATCTCCACCTCTGCACGTTTCAATCTGGATGAGCATTGTACCGGCGTGTGGTTACGTATCACTACTGCATAGTGCACGGTAAAGAGCCCGGGATGGCGGATGTACTGCAACGACTCATTTTGTCACCTACGGCGTGATTCAGTGTCACCACACCTCAAAGCCAGACCGACCTTATCCTGTCTAAATGCAAACATCTACCGTACTTTGCTTTGTTTTTTTTCTGCAAACAAGGGAAACAGATTGAAACAGGTTGACACAAACACACAAAGTGTTCTGCATCAATCGGCTTTATGCAAAGTATTGGTGCAAGTTCCTTTCGACGGCACTCGCCGTTAGGGGCTCTTCCCACCGCTGCAAATGGCGTCCGTAGTCGTCGTAGTTGACGCTGTCGCAGTTGCTGCAAGTGGACGTTGGGCAACTGTCGTCGTTATCGCCAAATGCTCAAAAACAATCGCTCGCCGCCGTGGCGTTTCCGGGATTCCGAACCGGGTCCACCACGTGCGAAGCGGTTGCATTACCACAGAGCTATGCCGCAGCCTTAGCAATCGCTTTTATCGGCATATAATAAGCACACAAGCGAACACACGCGTATGGCTCTCGTGCAGCCTCCGCTAGATCAGTGATTCTCAATCGTACATGTTTCACGGACATTTGTGAATCAGCGGTGGTGATAGAGGACCCTATTCATGGTGAGGGGAAGGGAAAGGTAGAGGTTAATTATATGATAATGATTTAATAAATGGATATAACTAAGGGCTACTGTATTGTAGACTTGTCTCATTGACATACATGAGAAAATTCACCCGAAAATTAAATTGTTTCTTCTAAATATGAAAAAAATACAACTTTTATTGCTGGGCTTGACCGACGAGGCAGGGCTTCGCAAACCCCTAGAATGCCTTCACGGACCCCATTTAAGAACCACTGTGCTACATGACCGCAGTTTCTACGATGTCAAAACAGGAGGTACTTTATTATCTCTAATTAATTCCAAATTTAATTGTTAAAATTAAAAGCTTCGGCTAGGTGGCGCAAGCAGCCCAATTAAAAGGGTTCAGCCGCATTCGTCCGCCCAATACCATTTAGAAGACGAGGCCTGCGCATTAGGACATCATTAGTGGATCTCCGGGCCGCCCCAGGCGGCAAACGCGCCAAAGCTCGAAAGGGTACTGCACGAATCGGCAGATGCGTGCGCCGCTGCGTGCTCGCGTCGCAATTGTTGCGAGGCGGTGAGAGACGCACTGGCGGCAACACTGACCGGTCTCGTCGTTCATCGCGGGTGAACGGCGAGATACGTGCTCATAAGAACGAAGCCGAGAGACTACGCTGTCGAGACCCCAAGGCAGTCATGGCCACGTTACCAGTAAAAACTAACCGTGTTACAGTTAGCTACGGAGAAAAAGTAGCTCTGTTACAGTTACCGGCTTCAAAAAGTAATGTGTTTCAGTTACAGTTACTGCAAAAAACGTAACACTGTTATTTTCTCGTTAAAGCACTAAATTTGGACACAAAAAATCACAAACCAGAACAATATTAATTTATTTATTACACTATAGTGAGAAGAAAGGTAAACTGAGAAATTAGAAAAATTTAAACCCGAAGGGTGCTTCTTTTTTGCGTCATTTGGCGTTTCAGCATTTTGATGTGCATAATTTATTTTCAATAATTGTTATAACTCAGAATCAACTGTTTCTCAAAATTGTCATCGGCCCGCATCAGTGAACGTTTTCATTTATTTTTCACTGCGAAACGAATGAGGACACAGACGGTCGCGTAATTACTTTTTGGGATATACTCAGAAGCAGGCCTAAACATAGCAGGTCAAACAGCTTCGAAAGAATATAAGGGGAAAGGAGTGAGGCCTTCTGCTGCTCTACAAGCGTATGACGACCACCGCGGCGGTGTCCGTGTTCGAAACACCAACTGGGGAAGACCGGTCCGCTTCAGCTGCAGCACTGCATAGGTTCCACAAGAAAATGTCCCTCCATCGGGGTGTTTCTTAAGGCTATCAACGATAAAGGCAATTACACTTGAACCTGCCTTCGTGTTTACTCGAGCGGTTCCAAAGAAAATGAATAAAACTTGAAAATTAATAGGCAAGAGAAAACGGCGACCGGCTGGTTTTAAAAACAAAAACACAGACATATCCAAAAAAGGGGAAGGGAGAGGGGGGGTTGGCATGAGGGGTGCAGTCACAACCCAGACGGAACACTCGGAGACATATCACACTACCACCAACACCCGCAGATGGTTCCCACAAGATAAGAGTGAGCCAGAGCCCTTGAAACAGACATTGCCCCCCCCCCCCTACCGCCGCGGGCGCCACTTCCTTTATCTCCCGGTTTTGTGCTAATTCATCCGTCACCCATTCTCGGTCATGGGCGAAACCAGGCAATTATTTGTTTAATACGTGGCCACGCTCCTTGTTTGTTTGTGTTTTTGTCAGCTAGGAGTTTCGGAAAAAATGCTTCAAGATGGCAATTTCACCATGTCCGCTGCAGTGGGTTCTAATTTATACAATAAAAAAAGTAACTGTAACGACCTAAACAGTTACAGTTACCCAATAAGAAAGTAACAGTGTTACAGTCACAAGTAGTAAAGAGTAACGCGTTACGGGTAAAAGTTACCGAAGAAAGTAACTAGTTACCGGTAACGCGTTACTAGTAACCAGTGACTGCCCCAAGGCGGGTGAACGCAACGCCGATGTTCAACAACTTCGCCTCGATGCATTGCAGCTATTGCTGTGACCGTACTGTGAGTTCACGTGGGACTGCTGTTTTTTTAATGCGTTAGCATTATTACCTACATTACAGGGAAAAGCTGACGTCATTTGTCTCCATACAAAACAGCGGAAAAGGAAGCGCGCTGCGTAGAGAGGAGGAGAGTGGTAAAGGACAAGGGAGTGAAGGAGGCGACGTCAGAAAGCGGGAGTCAATGCGCTCGCGGATGCTGGGGCGAGTCTGAACTTTCAGGCGAACAAGAAGGAGGAGTGGCAGTGCAAGAAGTGGCAAGCCAACGTGGGTCTGCGTGCAACATAGGCTGAAGCAAGACCTCAGCCTTCCTTTAATGTTTTTTGCTGGAAAAACATTAAAGGGAGATCCATTGGTGGGTCCTTCGGAAACGCGTTAGCACGACCCTTGGAAAACGCCATACACGTCCCCCTTTGGGTAACACTAACAGTGACCTTGGAACAAAGCCAAAACGATACAGCAAAAAATAGAGGAAGCGAAAGAGAAAGCCAAAACAGAGTTTTCAAAGGGGGTCGTGTGTGGCCTTTCCCAAGGGTCATGTTAACGCAATCCCTAAGGATCCACCAATGTATCTTCCTTTATTTTATTTTTCTCTTACATTGTTCAAATGTAATTTTCGAGCCCATAGTTTCGACCTCAACCGAAGACGGACTACGGCCGGCTGCCCCTCAAAGGGGTTCCCACCTGGTAGGTGTCGGAGATGACGCGCACGGCAGCCTGCGCCTCAGAGATGACGCTGCGCTGGGAGCGGGGCTGCTGCTTCCCACCGCCGGCCCTCGTCTGCTCCAGCTGCGTCAGCAGCCTCTCCTGCACCTCGTTGAAGCGCAGCACTTGGTCGAAGATGGAGCGCAGCTCAGACAGGATGTCCTGCACCGTCCCAATGCCACACCCCATTTGCTTAGTGTCCTTCGCTTACCCCGGGCATCTGGCAATGCCACTGCCGATGGCGGTGATTGTTATTAAGGGCTTAAAGGGCAACATACACTTTGCGCTTTCCATTTTTTATAGCTTCCTCCTTTCCTACATAATCTCCATCTTTCAATCTGACCCAACACGGCTCCCCTCGTAGTTTCGGGGGAGAGGTCGCTAGGAGGATTATCTTCCCACCAAAAGAATGAGGCTGTATGTCGGCCTTTATTGCACGTGCAGCGTCGGCATTATGTTAGGCAGAAAACTCTCGTTCACTCATCGGCCGAGGGACGACCGGCGCACTTATTTCTTTGCCACCTTTCTGCCGCACATGCCGGAGTATTACAAATGCAGGTGTGTCGCCAGCACTACAACCAGACGGTAGAATTACCCGTATGTAGAGTCTGCGGTGAGGCGGAAGAAACGGCCAAACATTGCACAGTTGTGTCTCGTTAATATGGATACCCCACTATAAGAACACCATTTTCAAGTACAAACTGGGAAAATATATGCATTTTTGTCTCATTATTACGAACAACTCACATTATGAAACATTCTGGGGGGAACGGAGGTGTCCATATTAACGAGACATTACAGTTCAGTCATGCACCCGCTTGCACGCAACACAGCCGGTGGGGAGTGGCACCCGATGAGCGTGCGCTGGCAGGGGCTCTTGGCTTGGGGCCTCCTCTAAGTGCCCCCTCTACACTGAGGACCAACGGAGAGTCGAGGGGAATAGTGGAAACTACCGAGAGATGGCTAGAAATTGGGGGCTGCTGCTCAGCAAAGGGGATAAGAAAGCCCCGCAGGCTAGGTCCCACTGCGGGACCGCCCAATTCAGAGGGAAAAGTCACAAATAATTGTCAATCACCACCGAGACGAGTCAGAAATAATCATCAATCACCACCGGCAGTGACGCAGCTCAAGCCTCGAGATGTGTACAACGAAGGAGCCACGTCACGTTGGTTCTCCTTTGGATGTGGGATTGCCACGCAAAGTTAGGACACCTTCCGAAGAAAGGCAATACAAGGCTCGCCGTGACATGTGTGTTGTGACACGTGTGTCACAACAAAAAAGACTTCCTACAAAAACAAAAGAAAAATTTCTCACAACATCTACATTGAGCTAGGAGCAGCTCCAAAACATGATACTATTTCGAGACATCGACCCCAAAAGAGGAGGACGTTTCGGGATTGCTCAAAGGGGTCTCGTGGCATAAGCATTGATCTTATTCGCGACACAAGTGACTCATCCAAGTATTCAAAAAGAAATGCTTCGGGGGAGTTCAGTGTCCTTAAATTGGCGCAACAGAATGCACTATGTGCGAGAGGAAATTGACAGATTACGAACACGACGGTGAGCACGATGCTAACTCACCCTAGACTCGGGGTCTAGCAGGGCCCTCGTCATGAGTGCCGAGAGGAAGTCGTCGTGGGCCTTGACCACCTCGTCCAGGTCCTGTGCCTGGTCCACGCGCGTCTCCAGCTCCGCCCAGGCACACTCTATCACCTGCAACCGGGCACTCAACTTCCCAAACTCTTGGCCCTCGGGGAACTGTGGTCTTTCTCGATCGACAGCAAAGGAACCTGACCCGGTCTCGGCACCGACGTGGTTTGCAAGTACTGCCGCATTCTGATAAGTGCAAAGCATTACAAGAGTGTACACGAATCATAAATTAAATTAATACTCCTCACTTTTTTTCTTTTTTACATGGAATGTGTGCTTTGGTTGGGACCTAACCATATCCGGTTAGGTGCCAACAACGGGAGTCGATGGGCCGACTGCCAGCCGAACGCCGACGCAGCGCTTGTCACTTCACTGACTGGACACCAGTGCCAGCCGAACCTCTTCCTCGGGTGCCTCTGTGTTATTCCCAGCTGGAGTAAAAGATCACTCGTTCAGATATACAGCGGCACCCTGCCCTGGGGAAAAAGCGCACTCCGGGCTTTCCCAGAGAAAATGTACAAGTAAGAACGACCGAAAAGCAGACTCCTTGGCATGCCGCAACAGTTTGAGGGAGTTCCGAGTGTTTGGTTCTCTTTCACCAAGAACTGGTGCCAGGGCTTTGCTCTGCGCTGCCGCGTTCCAATTGTTTTGTTTCACACGCAGTCCGTCTACTGCGTCTCACACTCCACCAGGCTCAGAGAAAGCTGCATTTACACTACAACCGTAGAAGATGGCAACCCCAAGTAAGACATGCACGGAGCGCTCATGCGCTTACCTTGCACAACGCAGGGCTACTGCACACCGTCTAGTCTCCTTATGTATACACAGTTTCTCCACACTAACACGTCACATTCTGTGTTACCACTGCCTTTGCCCTGCTTGTTTTTTCAAAGGGGCAACTTTTTCACCGATAATCACAGTTTTTAGCATCTGTACAAAATAAATTGCCAAAATACACTGATGTTTTTAGAATATATGAGACCGAAGAACAGTAGCGAATCTTTTTTATAAATATATTCCAGAAAATCTGCAGTCTAGAGTAGACACAGTCCAGAAAGGTTGTTTTGAGCTTTGATTGTGAACTTGCCGTAGCGAGATGCTCCTAATTATGTAGCCACTTAGACCCCAATAGACATTTCGGGAAATATGTGGCCCCATCTGTTCGATGCATTGCGACGTTCCGGCGTATGGCATACGAGATTGTCCAGAAATCGAAGACAAAGTTAACGTTAATTTAAGATCTTTTTTATTTTTCCTTTTTTTTAGAATGCAGAAAACAGAATGCAAAACAGGGAATATAATGACCTCCTATCTCCTTCTGTGTTCGCTTATTTCTGGTGCTTCCTGAGCTAATAATAAAAGAGAATGAATTGCGACGCTTCCAGAATACACGGAGCGTTCGAGCTTGCACGAGCGTATATCTAAACGGCCCCCGCAGTTCCCCCCATCGCTAGGTCACCTGGGATTTTCCGGAAGGGTCCATTCCGAGACTTTGAAGAAAGGGAGCTCACCTCAAAGACCATGTAGTACTGGACCTGCTGCATGAAGTGCATCATCTCTGCCAGCAGAATGTCGCACTGGTGCAGCACCGGGAGGCACTCTGCAGCAGAGGCACCCTTCAGCTCGAGCGAAGCAACACCCAGTCATTCAGACACAAAAGTGGCAGACTTTTGCCACAGCGTGCGAAAAAGGGAGAGCGATAGCTGTTATTGTACTCTGGAGCACGTCTTCAACTGATGCATTTACCATGTCCAAAAAGTGGTCCCTCAATTTCCACCCAATGACGTCCTAAAAGTGTCACGCTGTCGCCAGCCACGATCCTGGGCCTGTTTGCTCGATGCCAGTTGTGGGGACCGTGCTAGTACTAGGTTTGACGTCTCCTTTGATATCTGCCGCTGTTGAGATAACCCTTTGGTTACTCTATCAGTACCTGTGTTGGTAGCTAGCAGATCCCACACAGTTGTGGCCAAAAGTTACCTGCCCATCCTGACTAAGTAGGTGCAAGTACCCAACCAAGATTGACTACGGTTGGATGCGCGATAGCTCCGTGGTATATTATGGGGCGGTAGCTCGTGTCACCTACCAGTTATAGCAAATACTGTATGTGGCTTTTCTGAAAAACTTTCTGAAAAAAAAAAAGGGAAGGTTGCTGAGTATGCGCACTGCCAGGTTTTCGCAATGCAGTGCGGCATGTTGCTTGTGGCACAAATAATGAGTAATGTGAAACCAAATTAACCCATGTTTGGCAAATTATTTAATGTTTGGCTGTCTGAAGTCAAGAAAAGCCTCGCCAAAATTTTGTTCTTACGCGAAAGAGGACGACGATGTTCGGTGCTAGAAACAATAAGGAAAAAGTGAGCAGTGAAAGGCAAGTGGCACATTGGCAGCATGGTTGGCCAGCATATAATAACTGTACATAAAACCTTATTCATAACATGAAAATTGTGTACTTTGGCTCCAGTAAAAATTGGTATGTGGTCTGCTTCTGCCGGCCATCAATGCCTGGCAGATCGAGTCGAGACAATCCACATTCCAAAAACATTGCCATGTCGACAATTACCACATACCTTTAGGTCTAGGAATGGCCAGAATCGAAATACCATCTAAAAAATGGGCTGAGATCACTGCTCATACTTTGCAATCTGTCGAACTATCGTCCGCTCTTTTAAACATTTCGGCATTATGGTCCACGCGGAATGAATCGCCGCATGTGACAACAAAACAGGAAATACTATACAAATGCAACTCTAGTGTAACTGTATAACTCAGTACACAAAAAAAAGGCTGCAATTATTTGGGTGAAAGAGCTGTTATATCTATGGTTTAAGGGTAAGCTATTTAGTAACTTCGGGAGGGTTATTTAGATTCTCTGAAGACCATAATTGGAGCGGGAGTTTTCAATGAACCAGGGCTCAGAATTACGAGTTGAATAAATATAGCTTCTTCTCTGCGATGATGCCAGAGAGATGAAACAGTCTCTATTTTCTCTGCATTCTACTTTATATTTGATGCATAACTTAGTAGAATGCAAAGATTTTCATGACATTCAGATTGCGAAAAAGAGTTTGTGTGAGAGTCATAGCCAACATTGTAAATGATTCTTAGAACCTTTTTTTGCAAGAGATGTATTTTCTCAAGGTTCGATCCCATGGTTGCTCCCCAAACCAAATGACAACAGTGCAGATGAGAACAAAATAGTGACTGGTACAGAAGTAGTTTAACACTGAGTGGAAGAATATAAGAATGCTGGTATATTAAAACTACCATGCGACCTAGCTTTGATGTGATGTAATCAACATGACTATCCCAAGATATATTTTCGGAAAAGTACACTCCTCATGTGCCTCACCCTCCGTTCAAGCAGATATGAACACACTGGTGTCATCAGCATAGATACAAAAATTTGCTTGTTTGCTTATATTTACTAAATCATTGATATATATATTAGACAGAAACGGTTAAAAAAAAATGACCGTATCTCCACGCGGTGAATGATGTTGACTGGGGCAAAGCACTGGTGGTGCTGATAATACTGATTTTGTTCATAAATAGTGCTGATGGTGCCTATTTTTTTTTTTTTTTTATCCTCTCCGCAGCAGCTTGCTGTCTGCGTAGATGCTGAGCCGCAGCATGCCGAGCTTTTCGTTCGTTTTCATATATGTCAGAAAAATAATGTGTGGTGTGGAACGTGGTTATATACGCATTTGAGCATTTGACCGCAGCGCCCTCTCGTCTATAAACATTGAACCGATGCATGCAAAGTTTAACGCAATTATATACACATTTGACCGCAGCGCCCTCTCCTGTATAGACGTTGAGCGGCTACATGCAACGTTTCATCCATGACGCCCCAGCTCTTGAGTTACTACCACATCTCAGAGCCCCCTACTCGTACCGCAGTCATGGCCGAGTGGTTAAGGCGATGGACTAGAAATCCATTGGGGTCTCCCCCGCACAGGTTCGAATCCTGTCGACTGCGCAAACAATTTTTTCTTTTTTTAATAAGAAGACAGATGCGATGGCAATCGATGTGAGCACAAACGCTGGACAAGGCTAGACCCTAAGGAGCTTCTCCCCTAATACTTTCTTGAGGCACCTCCAAAGTTGGATCTTTTACGTCTGACACATCACCACTAATGTGGACATACTGCTTCCGGTGGCTCAAATAGCTTTTTAGTAGTGTTACCTGTCCTCTGATGACATATGTTTTGAGCTTTTGAAAGAGTAGTTTAGGCAATCAAATGCTTTTATAAAATCTATATAAATATATCAAGGACGATATTTTTGTTTTCAAAGTTGTCCAGTATAAACTCTTTCTGATAAAAAAAAAAGCTAACTCTGTGGAACAATTTTTTCGAAACCCATGTGATGCAATTAAAATGTGATCGTGCAAAATGCTTTCAAATATGTCTTCGAAGGGCAAAGCCTTCTGAAAACACGAAGGATAGAAATAGGTATACAATTTCCAAAATCGTTTTTATTGCCTTTCTTATATAGAACTGCCACTTTAGCTACCTGCATCCAAGGAGGAAAAATCAGTCTCTAAACAAAGGTTAAAGGTGTGAACTACGCAAGAGCTAATTACTTCAATAACATCCTTAACTGGCCTAATTTGAATTCCTTTGTTGTCATAGCTGCTGCTGCTGTTTGCTTTGAGAAATACAGATATTACTTCTGCCTGAGTAACGGGATTCAGATAGATTGTACTCTCATTTTTATTTGCAATGCATCTACAGATATTAGTGTCGCAAAGATTTCCCACCAAGTTGACAAAAAAAAAGTGTTGAAAGCATTTGCACGAGAGCGATCAGATCACTGCATTCCATTCACATACAGTTTCTCTATGATATTAGTCAAATGCTGAGGATTTATTACCGAATTTCTCCACATTACACCTGTGCGATCAGTCCCTGTATTAAATAAATTAAAGTAAAAGCGCTTCCTAGCATTTTTAATCTTTATATTCAAGTTGTTTCTATATGATTTAAAATTATTTAGTTTATCTGTTTAGTCTTCACAATTTTTTTTTTTTTCACAATTTTTTATTTTAATTTTTTCATGCAATTCCAGGGTTTTTCTAGATTTTTTTTTTTTTTTTTCCTCCGACAGATTTGTGGGGGAAATATTTTTCGAGAAACATATCAAAAGCTTTCTCGGGCTGGTTTCACCAGTTACTTCACTCTAATCGGTGTTGTTTAATTCAGCGTAAAAAGTATCTAAACGGTCACTCGTTATGAGTTGGAACCTAGCACACTTTTTGGTACTTGTTTCGCCACACTGTTATGAATGCATACAAATGTGGCAAGGTGATCACTGATGTCACAAATTACTACTCCAGACTTTACAGTAGATAATTCGAAGTTTGTTATAAATAGGTCTATTAAGGATTCAGAGCTCTCAGTGATTTGTGTTGGTGTATTGATTGAATGAAAAGTTCCTGTTTTTCTAAGAACTCTCAGTTAACAGGCCGATATTAAAATCACTGCCCAAAATCACACTATATCGATTTATTCTTATAAACTCAAACAGTTCCTCCAAACATTTAAAAAACTTCAGGATACTACCATTGGGAAGACGGTATACAATGGAGAGAATATTTGTGTTAACCCTCAATAACAATACCTCGTAGTCATCTGTTACAGTTAAAAAGTCACTAAGTAGTTCACGGACAACTCCCCTGATTGCTAAGATTGCAACAACGCCACCGCGTTTAGCAATACAGTTGAGAAAATATGTGTCGTATAGAGATAGCCGAAAAACCTCTCCTGACGCAGTACCAAATATCAAGTGACCGCTTCTGCGCTTTGTTGGTAGTATGTAGGGTTGAGTTGTATCATTCACTCTTCATGTCTGATTGGTTAATTTGAACCAGAGTTTGGGGTGGCGTGTGACCTGCTTCTTCTGCTGTACTTCTCATCAAAAATTAAACTCAAGCAGCACGACAACAGTGGCTTCACGACTTACGGAACAGGACCCATGACCCAGTTTCGTGTCATCGTACTGACCACAACCGAATCGGTCGTTGTCGTGGCTTCAGAGGCTTGTCAAGTGACTAACTAGGTAGACTCTGGGACAACAAAATTTCCGGAGCGAGTTTTCTTTATTTTTGGCCTGTCGGAAACAGGCAGGCAGAGAAAATAGAAACCAATTGCGACGATCGCCGAGCAGGCGTTGAACTTGGCATTCTGATCGCCTGTTTTTTTCACAGTTTGCTCGCGTGGTTTAAAAGCGGTCTTGAAAAATAAAGTGTATCATATGATACGAGGGTAATCCATAGCGTGTTTATGTGAGCTTTACATATCGCAGCACTCCAATCGGTCCCGCTCAGGGCTAATACATAGGGTTCTTCGTTTTTATGTAAAACCCAATATTTGCTCCCCGAACAGTTTTTATGAAAATCGGGTTATACCCGATTTCTCCCTGAGTATTGGTCTTGAAATCAGCCGAATTTATAGAAAATAAGAACAATTCTGGATCTGCTTCAGAACTGCTTCCTCAGTCACTCGTTTGCTGGTAACAAACTTCTCTGATTTAAATTACCTCTGCATATATTCACTTCAGGATGAGTCAGAAGGCGGTACTATACTGCAAGATCAAGCACCATTGCTATATCGTATATTTTGTTGACTTTTGTTCATGTAAATAACACATTTCAGGTACTTGCCCTTCATAAATTAGACCCGAGAAAACCCGACTTCCTAATGGCTTCATAAAGACCCGATTTCTCCCAGATTATCAGCCTAAAAAATAGCACCCGACTTTTACCCCCGATTTTTGAAAAATATAAAACCCGCAAATGAAGAACCCTACTAATACACCACACGTGTTGCAGCTACAAGATAAAGTCCTCTTTTCACGCTGGTTGCAAGCTGTGCCACCAGACGACCCTTCGATAGGCGGATAGAAAGAGGCTGTCACGATTTCGCACACTTCTTTACGAGTGGCACGTTTGTTTTTGAAGTCGTTTTCTGGGTGCGCCGCAACACGTAGAACTTGCCAGTTGCTTAAACACAGCTTCGACTTTAGTTTCGTGCCTCAATGGCGGCAAGAACAGTTTTACTAACCCATTGAAGCGGAAAGATCTCTGGCGCATTGTTCGGGTCAGCGTCTGTCGAGCTCAGAGCAGACGTGCCGAGCAGAAAGTGCATGCGCTCAAGCGCCATAACAATGAGACACTTTTTTTTTTTGTCTCGCGTTGTTTGGCTGGCGAAGATGCCGTCGGCACGGGCTAAGCGGGCCCACGCGGATCGAACTTCACCAGGTCGATCGCGTCACGGCCTTGACCATCCTGCGTGTCCTCCCCCAAAGAGCATCTTACACCGTGCCCCCGACCTACCGGGCACATCCCTGGTCCAGAGCTTCCGGTTCATGGTCTGCTGCTTCCAGGCAGCCGTGGTCACGTACTCCATGTGCTTGGCACGCCACAGGTGGTTGAAGAGGCGGAGGTACACCGACATTGAGTACGGGGTGAACACCTGGACAGGCACCCCCAAGAGTCGTCAGAGCGTCCAATAACTTTCGGTCTTCCCAAAATCGTCGCTCACCGAAGCAATGGGACCATCGACGCGGTAGAAGAGCGAGAACACATCCCACCCGACGTCGCCCGGATTCGTCTGGAAGGCAACAACAGTAGGGTCGGCGAAGGCAAACATTTTACGATATGGACTAAAAGCCGATAAACAGACCCTCTTCAGAGTCCGTAGTAAAGGTAGTCCAGCTCCTACACAGCATTACTAATTTCCCCCTCTACGTAGAAAATTAAGATATATGTAGGTGCATTTTAGATAAGATGTATGTTATCTTATCAAGACATAGAAGCTCCAAACGCCAAAAGCATCCCTTTTTCCTTCGACAAGCGAATTTTGTAAGAGCTACTTCGCGCGGCGTATGAATGATGGACAAAACTTCCTTTTTCCTTGAGCTGAAAACGACCATAGCAGCAGTTCCGCTAATTATCCAAGACTGCCACTGTTTGATCACATACTCTGAGCATGTATTGGATACGAGAACTGAGTTGGTGTTCAGTGTGAACTCCGCTCGTCTAATGTCGAGCACGACATACTTTATGCCCAATGGATGGATGGATGTTAATGGCTATACACTTTGTAACAAGTGCTAGCTTGTGCCACCTAGCCCTAGTCTCAAAAGACAAGAAATGGCAACTACCAATGTTGCTTGATCGAATTTAGGAAAGGGTCTACTAAAAAAAACACACCAATTTAAAAAAAAAATTCTGACGTTTTAATTTTGTTTTGATAAGTCGAAAGCAATATATGATCTAAATACTACACTAAAAAAGTAGACCTTTATTTAGTTACATCGATGCAAAGTTCTATATGCAGGTCGTTTACAAGCGGGTTTCGATAAGCTCTGTTTTTAGCTTTTTCATCGGAACAAAACTTTTTGCCTGTGATATTTTTGAATCTAAAACTTGAATCGGAATACTTTTTTTTTTCGGGGTTGGATACCTCAAAAACTGGAGAGCGCAATAAAACTGTGATTTTTGGGAAACATTATCTGCAAGATTTTCTAATAGAAAAAAAAAAAAAAAAAACATATATATATATATACTTGTTTCTAATTATCGATGAAATATTTTTAGTCAACTTTTTTATAAATGTTGTTATACAACTATAATGGTTTTTGATTCACATTCTACTGCTTGTAGAACACACAGACATACTTGGTGCCATAGGTTTTAATGGAAGTCTTGTAAGAAAGTTGGGCAGAAACATATGCACTGAAGTTTAGTTTTTCTTAATAACAAATAGGAAAACAACTGACTTATGTACGTGGTCGTCACAACAAATTGGTGTGAGAATTATATATAAATTGGGTGAGAAATTAGAGAAATCTATTTTAAGACCAGGGTCACCTCTTAACTAAAGGTCCACTACGAGGTCACAACTGTAATAGCAAGTTAGAAAGTTACTCGGGGAGGTTGAGGTAAGGACACGGAAAGAAAGCAGGCATTCCTGTTTCTTGCTTCATTAAAACAACACAAAACTGCCTTAAAAATTTTTTTTTTAATTTTAAGCGCCTGGACAAGACATATATAGTATGTAAAAAAAAATAAAGCTTTTCCCAAGAAAAAAAAAAAACTTTTTTTTTTTTTTTTAATATTTAGGTTGTGAGACTCAATTTGAGTTAAAAGTGATTCGAGAATGTTCTTCCATTTCGGGATGTCGACCCCAAAATAGAAGCAAGTCTTGAAATCTTATTTAATTCATTATTTTACTAATGCGAAAGCATTAACTGTCTCATGGAGCGAGCTGCACCAAACGGCACCTTAAATATTTTCTCCAAGTGAAGCCAGCTCCCAGCTATGAAACCAAGCGAAAAGCTAGCCAACGGCACCTGAATTCCCCGATCCTAAAGGAGCGGAGTAAAGCTGATGGATTTTCGGCTTCAATCCCACTGGCTGGCGCGCGTCGACGAGGCCCCCACTGGCCGCTGAGCATCAGTTTCAATGGCCGCTCACCCCATAGCGCTGCGTGTCCGTCAGCGCGCCATTAACACGGAGCGTCCAAGGTCAGCGCGCCTAGGAGAGCGCGCATGCTGACCAGCACCGAGAAGTATGCAGCAGATAAAATAAGAAAGCCGACGAGCGGCTTGCATGCCTTCACATTCATAGCTCGTAAGAAGTGCTTAGGTGTACCTCGAGCCTTTTTTTATTATTTTTATCCAAAACCCGCCACTCTTGCCGGCACATTTGTGTTCAAATGAAATCATTTACTCTTCCAGACCAGCTGTGCTAGTAGCTCAGTGGCTATCGGGAGCATGCAACACCCAGAGGTGGTGCGCCAATCTGCCTTGCCAGCCACACCAGAGACAGTGTCCGCATTACGTCTGCCCACTTGCGCCTAGTGACTCTATTACGATCGTCTGGTGGGCTAGTTGGTTGATCATTATGTGGAATTGGCCCTACTCGGGCCTCGTACCAGCAGCGTCTTGGCCGCGTCTGCACCCTCCCGCGGCCTCGTTTCTCGAGCTTGATCCGGAGTAAAGGTCTGCCACATTGACATTCGAGAATGTATCCACGCCCGACGTCGCTCCGTACGTGTTCTCGCGTCATTCGACCCGCCGACGGGTTTGAAACGACAGGGTGTCTATTTAGGATGCCCCATTTTCGGCACGAGCCAACCGCGACTGGTATCTATGTCTCGTCCTACAGAGGACCACAGCCACAGCCATGAGCTACTAGATTCAATCACAAACCAGTTAGAAACCGCATTACATATCACTCCACCGTACGTACTGGTGCGACGCTCTAACTTGCTCGGGAATGTGCAATGAGACAAAATATGACAGCGCCTCGGCCATGTGCGAGCAGGTTCGGAGTTACGAAGTGGCACACTCCTCACTGCCTAAACAACAATTAACAGCTGCCCCTTCAGATAGTCATAGAAGGCCAAGGTGCCCGAACCGCGCGTCTCCCGCTGGCATGTTTACAACTTCCTCGTTCATGGCCCATTGATTTCTGCCCGACGATGTCCCATTTGGGCCATGCTGTCACCTGCCACAATCCAGGCGGTGGCAGAGCAGCACAGCTGTATGCGGCAAAGGCCCGTTCTGCTCTATGTCGCCCTCCAGCATGACAGCCTAAGGACGCCTGGCAGCCGGGAATCGGAAAGCCGCAAAGACGGCAACACTCAAATATGCTTGTCTTCTCCGCCGTAACTTCTATGACCAACTGCCAGGACTGCGACATCCGATGGGACGATGTGACAACTCCTGCGACTCAATTTGTTGCCGTTTGGGGGCCGCCCCGGATGCACGGGCGCTACAGGACACTGGTGCCTGGAAAGCATCTCAGACTAGTGGGATTAGTGTCCCATCCTGCCCATGCACCCAAAGTTGTCCCAAAGTGACAACAAATGACGTCAGAAAAGCCAGAGCATTGCACTGTCAGACGCCGCGATCTTGGAGGTTGGTCGTATAAGTTCCGGCAAAAAACTGGAGCAAACGCGAGTGTCTAAGTCATTGTGGTGTCTCAACTTTTGGCAGCCGAAGCTTCCATGGACTGTCAAGCTCGAGAGCGACCTGCAGCAAAACAGCCGCCTGTCACATCTACCACCGCTGCTGCGATACTGCCAGGGTCGCAGACGGCGACAGCGTGGCACTTGTTATGAGGCCATTGGGCGGAAATCGAGGAATCACTTTTTAGGACGTGGTAAACAGACCGGTCGGAGACGCATTGCAGGCGCCATAAGGACACCAAACACGGGAACTCGTTCTGGGCATGGTAGTGCCATAAAATGGGGTCGCACCTCGAGCAGCTTGATCTCTAGGCGCTCCAGGATCTCGGGGTCCACAAACTGCGCGTTGGTGCTGCGCAGGGCCTCGGCCACAGACTCACTCAGGCTGTGCTGATACAGCTTCACCGCCGGCTGGCTCAGCTGCTCGCTGTCGTCACAGAGCGCACGAGGCAATGAAGGCTCGAAAGTGACTTTTGATGCACGAGGCTTTCGTATGTACAAATAGTCTGTTGCCACCGCGGAACTCAAAAAATAAATCCGGAGGAAAAAGTCTGCCAATTTCCTGTGCCTTTCAGCCACCTTGGAACAAAGGGGCGTAGGAGCACACATCAGCAGAACGAATAACAAATCGAGGGGCAAAATATCACTCATAAGGTCGGTACAGTCATTTTTAGCTTCAGTTTGAAAGGAAACATCCGCATCATGCATGCTATAAAAAAAAAATGAAAAACGGAAGGTGGCAAGCAATTTAAGCACTTGAATGCATCACAGCAAAATGAATGTGGTTAACCTTTCGTCCACCCTCTTTATCCAATCTTCTGTCGCTTCCTTTCTCATAAGTTTTCTCGGGTTAGCGCTTATGGTTTTGTTGCGCTCTCTTTCGCTCCCCCTTCGTCTAAACGTAAGGTAGTACTCGGGAAAACCACTGCCTCTAGCACACGTCCATCTGTTGCCTTTTGTCATGCTTTGGCTGCACATGCGCCAGAGTTTTATAGAAGGTAGAGAGCTCACGCTAGAGGCAGAGCTTCCATTGCAGACTTTAAATTGCGACAGGCTATAGTGCCACTGAAATTGAGACTGCACATACCTCTCACAGTCTCAAGCTCCTCTCCGAGAGGTAACAAACTTCCATCGTCACTGAGACAACATTCATGAAATTGTTTTTACCTCCTGCAACAATGGCCTTGATTCCAAAAGAGACACGAGAGACAAGAAAGTCGGTAACGCAGCCTAGAATCCAACCTGCCGTCGCCCCTGTCCCGGACTAAGACTGGGGGGACAAAAAGAACAGCCGACTCACTCGAGAACGTCCATGAGGTGGCGGACAAAGTCGCCCTGTCCCAGGAGCAGGAACTGCCGCAGCGCCTGGAGCCGACAAGAAAGACGTAATTCCAGCACAGCGTCAAACGGCAGCTATGATGTAGTTGACATGCTCATTTCTTAACTGTTTCCCACCTGCGCCCAGAGGGCGTCGATTGCCTGTAATTGGTGGGTGCGGATGCCTGTTCCAAAACTGCCTCAGAACTCCCGCGCTTGCTGCACCATCTCGTAAGTAGTTTGAAGACTACAGTTTTGTTTTCTGCATTTCTTTTTTCGCGTGGCAGCGACTTTTAAGCCAAGCATGAAACTGACAGCCCGTCGTCATTGTTAACAACCATAGCTGCTTCCACGGGTCCGGGGCGCACTAGCAAGCGTGGCAATGTTTGCGAATCTTCCCTAGATTTTTTAAACACTGGTAGCGGCAATGGGTTTGAGGATGAAGCCAGATCATCCTATTTCAGTTCTGACGACCTGTGCTTCATCCCATTAAGAAACTGCTGAGCTCAAAGGCATGTGAGCCATGAGAGTTGACTTGATTTTTGCTAGCTTAGTGTCTTTTTGAGCTAGAATTTTAGTTTTTGTGGAGCTTTCTGTTGTTAGGATGGAGAACATTTAGAATATTTCAAATTTTTTGGGCTCAGTTTCTTAAGATATACAGTGCAATCCACTTATAACTACAGTAAAACCTCGTTATAACAAAATGGGATATAAAAAACTAATGGATATAACAAAGCAATCATAATTCCCCTTGCTTGCTAATAGGGAAGAAATTGACATTGGCTATAACAAACTAATGGTTATAACTAGGGTCCCGCGTTTTCGGTTTTTATTTTTTCGAAATTCGGCGTACGTTTTTCGGTGTTTATTTTAAAATTCAATTTTCGGTTTTTTTCGGTGTATATTTATTCACAAAAAAGTTCACCGTTTCTTTCGGGTAATATGAAAGAAACACCATCGGACACCGGATCAGATGATCCTTGTAGCTGCTATATTTGTGATCACTCAAAGAATAACGGCACATGTACATACGTGGTATTCGCAACAACTTCCGTCAGGACACACTCCGGAATTGCGGAATTCGCGGGCATAATCTTCAGTGCGCTCCTTTTTCCTTCCCATTCTGACGACGTGACCGTCTGAAGTAATGACCGTACCCAAACCAGCAAAAAAAAAAAAACATTGTATTTTTGTTTTTAACCACAGACGAGTTTGAGGGAGGGTGTTAAAAAAGGTATTGACGGCTTTCCTCGATGTCCTCTGAAGTGCATGAAGCGAAAAACCTTATACTAGCCCACATCCGAACTTTTTTGGGGGGAACCGGGAACTTGACACACTCAACCCGATCAGAGAAAGGACACAGATGTCCCGCGAAGGCCAATCCAAGACCTCTATTGTTGCATGTTGAACCTTGAAAGAGGGCAATCACGAAGACGTCACACAATGTCGAACCTTGCAAAGCCCTCTCTCTCTCTCCCTCCCCCACCCACCTCGAAAAACAGTCCCTTTTCGGTTAAAACCGAATTTTAGAAAACAGATTAGACGTACTTTTATCGGTTTTTATCAGTTTAAACCGAAAACGCCGAACCTACAAACTGACCTTTTTCGGTTAAAACCGAATTTCCGAAAATGCATTCGGCGTACTTTTATCGGTTTTTATCGGTTTAAACCGAAAACTCCGAAGCCTAGTTATAACGAAATAATTACAATCTCTCCTTCAACTTTGTTATAACGAGGTTTTACTGTATAATGAGAAAACCCGAAAATGCTATCGTCATAACCGATTATTGTTGTATCTGGACTGGATCCCCTACGCAATACTGCATGGTCCTCTAGCAACTGATTGTTATAAGCAGTACATCCTGATACTGTTTATATCATTTTAAGTGGATTGCATTCTATTTGTACCTTTATTCAATTTGGACCAATTAAAGAATATGTGTTTGACAACATAAATATTGTGTTATAATTCAAGTCTCTGCAAATTTGCATCATTCAAAAGTCCATTCTTCTATGTATGGCATCGTATTTTAAACCTAATAGTTTCCTCTGAAAAAAAGAAGTATAACAATGAAGCCACATAAAATTGGCATTTTCCCCGTGGTCAGGAGTTTTATCCATTTAGAATTAGGTAAATGTGCTGCAAGACAGCTCAATTGAAAATTCAACATTTTTTTCACTTTAGTTTAGGCAAGCGCACTAAAGTTGAACTCTACTTTGCCTCACCTTTACGTGAACTAATCTATTTTAATTTATTTATTTATTTTATTCTCAGGGCACAAGGCATTACAGACCTTACATTAAAAAACATGCACACAATACTTATTTTATAGGTTGCCTGCTCAAGTTTCAAGTTATACACAGTATGACGTCACCCCGCAGGAACATTTGAACGTTGGTTTGGACATTACCTTTGTTTGCCGTTTTCTCGATAGCCATTTTGAATTTAGAGGCAATAAATAGCATGCTGGGAAGAGTAAGCCTGACTATTCTGAGAATGTGTCAGGGTAGCTTAGAACGCCACAGAGCTCCCCTTTAATCTAGAAGGTGTCGCATGACCACGCTTAAGAACGGTGTAGTCTGCTGGGAGGGAAAAGCGAGGAGAAGGGTCTCCCCCCATGGAGAGGAGGAACCACCATGTGGAAAGAGGCTCACATCACTTCTCTATACTATAAGGGTTACATATATTCCAAAGGTGAAGTTAGTCCTCGATTCCGAAAGCCCAACTGCGATTGGCACTGACCTGCAGGTGCTCCTTGAGCTTGAACTGCGAGCCGAGGACAGCCAGGACGCGGCGATTCCTCTCCTGGTATGTCTGATCCAGGAACTGCTGGAAGGTGTCATCGCGATCGGCTTCCAGCAGGGACTGCACTGCAGGAAAGCATCACCCCAGGGGCAGCTCCTTTGCAATCTGAGGGGCAACAAAACTAAACATACCGTGATCTAAAATAAAAAAAAAAAAACTGCCTGTCCCTTTGGTATATTTTAAAGGCATTCTAAAAGCTTACCATTTATAGGTCCCCTTTGACCATGTGGTTTCACCTGGTGTTACAAAGTCATGCGACCACCGGGAAAGCATGCAGTCATGTGACCTTAGGTCACGTGATCCTTTAACTGTGAACCTTTAATACCGCAGCGTGATACGGTCACAAAAGGGCCGAAAACTTGCCCTATAAATGCTATGCATTTAAAATGCCACTTAAAATTAAAAAAAACAAATTTGGGAAAATGATGTCCCAAAGAAATCATTTCTTTATTTCAAGTGCCCTTTTTCAAAACTATTCTCAGTCATTGGTGAAACGCCGCGCAAAAGTCGAGCATTTAGAATTCTTAATTTAATCTACTTCTTCATCCACTAAATCTTTTTAGTATAAGGCCTCGGGATTGTGCCAGAGCACAAATTTTGTCTTTCTGCAACAGCGCAAGGGCTACCTGGCGTTCTAGATTCTTTTGAGCCGAATAAAGATTGTCAAAACCTGTCCCACTGCAATACAAGTTTTGCTTTGTTAGAAAAATGCGGCAATCGCTGGCACAACTGGCAGGCAAACCTATCCGTAGTGATGACATAATATGGGGGAAAATAAGTTCAGCGTTTTCTGATTAGTAAGACCATTACGTTAGCCATCTGTGCATTAAATCTTATAGAGGGACGAAAAATGCCACATGAGAAGCTAAGCGAGCTGCACAATACCACGGTTGTAAGGTTACCTGGTCTGGAACCTTTTGTCCTGCTAGGAACGTTGCTTCAGAGAAGCCATCGTGAAAAAAGGCCCGCGTACGACGCTTTTTCGTAACTCTCGAGCATTACGCATTTCCATAAAATCCAGCCCATATGAATACATTGCGTTAAAAATATCAAGCTTTCCAAGATTTTTTTTTTTTTTTAATATTTAAGTTTTTTTGTTTTTGTTCTGCATGAATTAGGGACAAAATTTACTACGGCAGAAACTGCAAAGGTTTTGAGATCAGTCAGCAGTCTGTTCAAGGAATGTGATGCTGCTTCACACAAAATGGGTGCTAGTTTCATTGGGTAAGGCTCCTGCAGAAAGTCTCACAAGTCCCATAGCTGTGGCCATAGAGCCTGGAATGCGTTTCTGACTGGTGCATTTACCTTGCCCCCCCCCCCAAAGTGGTCCCTCAATTTCTGCCCCAATGACATCATAAAGTGTCACATTGTCGCCGGCTGCAATTTGGGCCGCGTCACTGCAGCAGTGGCAGACCGAGGCAGATGCGTGCTCTGCTGCAGGTCGCTCTCCCGCTTGACAGTCCACGGAAATTTCGGCGGCCATGAGTTGGCACTCCACGACGGCGGCGATGCTCGCTCGTGCTTTTTGTCCGGACTTTTAGAACCAACCGTCGGGATCAAGACATCTGACAACGCGACATGCCGGCTCCCACATCGTCGTTCGTTGTCACTCCGGGACCACTCTCGATGTACGGACGGGACGGTATGCTAAACGGGCCAGTTGCAGACGCGCTTGAGGCACCACGCTTTAGCCGGCACGGTGAAAGCCAAAGCGCAGACGTACCTGTGCGTGCCTCCAAGTGCGAGTCTTGCAGCAGCGGTCCCGTCGGCTGGTCCTGACACACGTGGAGCAGGAAGTTGACTGCCTTGCCCGTGCACAAAATCTGCCAGGGTATAAGGACATCCAAAAGTTGGCATGTGCCTATATCGTCAGAAACTGGGCTCCCCAGAGGCTCCCAGAGTACCCCTAGGGGTTCCCCGGAGTACCCCTGGGGGCTCCCCAGGGTACATCTAGGGACTCCCCAGAGTACCCTTAGGGGTTTGCAGTATCCTTAGTGGTTTCCCAGAGTAGCCCCATGGGCTCCTTAAAGTACCCCTAGGGGTTCCGTGGAGTACTCCTAGGGGCCTCCCCAGGGAACCCCTAGGGACTCCCCAGATTACCCTTAGGATTCCCCAGAGTGCCCTTAATAATTCTCGGAGCTCCCAAATTTCCTTGGTCGTCCCCACCCCTAAATGAAGAGTTCTTGCAGTTTAAGCCCTTTTCTAAAAGATCTTATCCATAATAATGTGCCAGAACCCCCTAGCATGTGCATAATGGTTTACAAGGTCTATAGGCTTCTGCACAGCTGTTTTAATAATGTTGAGACACGGAGGGGTTCCTCAGTGGTCAAAATCGAAATAGGCATTCCCCGAGATAAAGAAGTTTGAGAACCCCTGGCTTTGATATTCGAATATGTATCAAAGTGTGCCCGCAATCATTCACTGATTACCATGATATCCCATAAGCACTCCTCAGACATTGCCCATCCCGTTTTTGTAGCTAAATACCGTAATTATAAAAAAATAGGTCAACTTCTTTATGAACAACGCCTGCGCATGTATTTCACAGCAACCCTAAATAAGAGCCATCGTTGCGATTTACGGAAGAGGCCTAGCGAATGACGAGGCACTCAGAACACAAAAATGAGTTTTGTGTCGATCGCATTCTGTTCCACACTCTGTTTCGCCATTACAGTAAAATACCGGGCAAGCACCCACTCAAAATTTAGAGATAATCGCAAAAAAAAATGGGGGATGGGCGCTTGTCCGGTCATCAATTTTACATATCAATGTACTGTGCATATTTTCTCAGATCTCACAAATTTGGGTATGGGCGCTTAGTGTGGTACGGGCGGATGCGTGGTATTCTACAGTAGTCGCCTCCTTTTGTATGTACTAATGATCGGTCTCCATGGGATCTGCGGGGAAGTACTAGGTGGACGAATATGTGTATAAAAAGGGCGACCTATTTTCGAATAAATACGGTATCCATAGGCTGAAAATTCCAAACATTGCGGGATGTCCGACAGAAATTGCATCAACTGTGTGATCTGCGGTATCGGTACATGAGACAAGTGAGTTTGTGGCAGGTACCCTCATGTTTCTGTCGCACCATGGAAACCAAACTTGCCGTGTCCGCGACGTGCAGCATCAGTTCCCGTGTCACAGGGTTGACGGCGAGTGCCGTGGTGTTTGTCGGTCGCTTTTGATAAACTTCCACCGTCTCGTTCCTAAGGATTGCCCAACCGATATTTTCCCCATTTACCTCTTCAAAATGAGTGGGCGTTCGTAAGGGACTTTACGCCGAGAGTGAAATTGAGTGGACTATGATTGCTGTTGCCCTTTATGACGTGGGACTGCAATCTGCGTATATATTTTCCGATATTTACGTGCCCTTCATTCGCCGTAAGCTCGAACTATTTCTGAGAATGATATAAGCAATTGTTACTCAAAGATAGTGTGAAGATTTAATCTCGCAAATACTGCAAAACCTTCAATCTAGTTATAGGCAAATAGGGAGTGTTCCCGGGTTACCCAATAGATGGCACTGGTGCATTTAATCGCACTCGAATACAAACCCGTGAAACAGCCTCAAGGCTTTACTGGTTCAAAAGCGGGTAATGCTTTGAGGCTAACGTGAGACGGCTCGACAAATTCTCCGCCCCACAGAAAGCAAAGCTTCACTCCCGCAGAAGAGGGCAGGCATGTAAGGGGCACACTCTTCCGGCAAATTGCTCCTCAGAGGCGGGTGCTGAACTTTATCGACCCGACAATTCCATAAACGATAATGATATTGATTCCCGAGCAACTGTAGGTGGTTGCAGAAATGCACGTTTCGCGGGGTGCTACTTTGTGATGCCATAAACTTCTTCTTTTTTTTTTTTTTTTTCGAGAATTTGTGGGCAAAAGTTGTTTTGGGGATCCTACATTGTGACAGACTGTAGTAGTAGCCGTCAATCGTTCCCGAACTCGTCGTTCAAAGTCGACACCAGGCCCGCTGCTGTATCTACTCTTATCAGTTCCCAGACCCTTGCCAAGTTAGTAAATATACTGCGGTCATGCCGCTAATACGTCGTGCAAAAAGACATTCTGCAGACACTGTCTGGGTGCATTTCTTTCTCGTACGACAACCCCATCACATTGATCAAACAAAAACTGTACGCAGACACGTCTGAAGCACGCACATGTGTAAAGCAAACCCGCTTCGAACATGCATGAGCCGCTAGTGCAGATAATTCTGTCATAGAGCCTGCAGCGAACAAGACACTGTCTTTTGTCGACATACGAGCAGCATGGCCACGGCACGCGTCGCATGTGTCTCTTGAGATGGCACCGAAGGAGCGGTATGCTTTCCGAGCCGCCTCGTCTTCCCTTCCCAGCCTCACCTTGCGTGCTTGCGCTTCGGACAGGAACGAAGGCACCATGTTCTTGCGCAGGTAGTACTTGTCGTGCCACAGGCTCTCGGCCGGAACCCCCTCGTTCGTCGCTATGAAGAACTGCGAGTGCACGGGGCTGGCAAGTTAGTGCTTGCCACAGACGGCCTTTCGTTGGCATAGTCTCGCGTGCCACTGCGTGCACAAATACACTGTGTGAGGGGAGATTATTATTATTTACTTTTAGACTACCAAGGAGAGCCGCGTGTTTGTAGGCTCTGTGAAGCTGAAGCCTATAAAGATAGAAATTGAGGGAGAGAAGGAAACGAGAGTATGCGGAGACGTCGTAGTGTTGAGCTCTGGTTGTAACGATTAGGGGGCCGACGCAAAGCAAGCTGCATTTGTCTATACTCACTGTTTGAATGCCTTCAAACGGCAAGTAGAGACAAAGGCAGATAGCTTTGCGTCTATCCCCAATCGTTCCCACCAAAGCTCGGCGCTGTGACGTCGCCACGTGCTCTCCCCGATTTTCTATCTGTACTGTTGCACCTATTCGCTCGTAACATATGTAGTATGGTCCTTTCCGAATTCACAGCACACTAAGGCACAGAGAATTGCCCTTAATGTTTACTAAACTTATCTTTCAATTGACTTTAATAAAAAGAAAACCCAGAAAGCACCAAAATTATTTTTCCCCCGTTTTCATGACTTGGCAGTGCAGTTTCCAGCAGCTTTTCACCTTGGTTTTATTTTACTCTTCGAAACTAAAATGCAACTTTGCCTCAAGAAACTTAAAGGGAAGCTGAAACATTTCTTGAAAAAAATTTTTATTTTTATTGCGTGAATCTTAATACTATGTTCGTTTCCCCCGAAAATGTAACTAAATACAAGAAAATGCGAAAAACCTCCAACCAGTCGCGATGTCATATCAGGATCTTTGGGCCACCAAGCGCGTGACGCTCGTATGAACAGCGCATGCAATTGCAAGCTTGCCAGGTATATTTTTTCGCACAGACATCACTTGTGACATCTGTTTCTGACCTTTTTGAAAATAGAAAAGTGCGCATGCATAGCTTTGACAGGTGCTAAAGATGCGCGAGAAAAGAGATTCCGAAAACTCCTAGTGCGACGTCACGCCCCGGGAAGGAAGGGCTTCGGCGGTACTCTAAAATTAATTTCTGCAGCCTCCGTGCAAGTAATTGAGAAGTAATTTTGATATTCGTGATCCTGGAGGCTGAATGAAGGCCAATGAAGTGTTTTTCCTAAAATATAGAACCGCTTCAGTTTCCCTTTAAACCTCCATCATTACTCAGTACGCCCGCGATAATTACAACTCAGATATCTTATACTTCTGGTTCATTCAAACTAATTTCAAAATTTTGATTGTCCCGCTATGTTTTTAATGCATTCATAAGCCAATTAATTTGAACAGCGTTTTTTTGTGGGATTCATTCTTTATATTCTAGCGGCCCCGTTGAGTTCGCTTCTTTCCGAGTACCGGTGCACTGCAGAGAGGCAACACAAGAGAAATAACGGCAATTAGCAATATTATTTTGTTTTGGCACAAACTACTTGTGAGCGAAAAAAAATACTGATATAATTGCAAGGAGTGCTTTAAAGTACATCTCAGTCAATGTTGCAACTACCTCGTTGCATCACTGGAAAGATAAAACGGAAATCAGGTTATCCAGAATGTACCGCATCATTTGTCACTTGCGCATTGGACTGCGTCAATTCCTGGTCGATCTGTTCATGAGGCAGAAAATAATGAAGAGGACCACACTCACAAAGGCTGTCAAATGCACAGTTACCAGGTTGCCAAATCCACACCTCACCATAACCGCTGGTAGTATTACACTGTACGATAGTAACCGCGTGGCATCCATTTGCAATCCATGGCCCCATCACATTTACGCACATGCGGAGACGTTTGCCGAAATTTTACAGAGCCTTTGCCGAACTTTCGTTCAAAAGTTTGGCATGTGCCGAACATTGCCAAATCTGCAGTTCGGCAGATTCGGTTCATCACTTGTAAAGGTCTAGGAATGGAATAAATGACTCCCTTAGGACATGCCTAAAATATGGGGAAAACCAGATGTCTTTGGGGGACGAACTTGCCTCGTGATAGACGTCCTCCAGTTGGCCAGTCTGAACCCAGCGACACAGCATGCCGTACCAGGGATGAAGCACCTGAACAGAAGCAGCAAATGGTCAGGAACATTTCGTACGTTTAACAGCACAGTGCAACGTGTTGACACATGCAGGGTTAGAGAGTGGCTTTCCTTATGGTCTTTTTTCTTGTTTAGAACTAATGCGATTTTTTCTAGTCGTATGGGGGTGCGACTACGCTAGCCCTTCCAGTACTGCCTCAACCACCTTGGACATCAGTTCCAACCAGTGATTCAAAATGTGCGCCAATGTACTCAAATGAAAACGACTCTGGTACGCCGACAGAAATACTTTTGGCTTACGATAAAGAAACACTTTTTTTATGAAAAATAGATTTTTGAGAAGACGGAGAGTCCCCGCCGGCAGATGGCCTAATGGCATGTACGTCTAACTCGTCTAGAAATTCCTCCAATAAACCCTTTACAAAAGTCCTGGCCATCACCTGTCCGCCATTGCTTGATCACGTACTCCGAGCACGTACTGGATACGAGGGCTGCGTCGTAGCTTGGCAGCTCAGCTCGTATCGAAAACAAGCGCTGCGTCAAAGTTCAGCGAGGACTCGAATCTAATCACGCGTTTCGTGCCCAAAGAATGGAGACCATGAAAGTTGCTCGATGGACTTTCGAAAAGGGTCCATTGGACACCGAAGCAAAGGAGGCCTACATGGTGAGGTTGAGGTGCTTCTCAAGGGGGGTTGAGGTTGCGGCGACCCCACCGAGCAGCGGTGTTGGGGAGAAACTACAGTCAAACTCGGATATATTGAATTAAAGGGGGATCGTAATATAGTTTGATATATCGATAATTTGATATACAAAAATATGGTGACTCCAGTTGAAATTTTTATGCGTCTTTGCTAATACCAAAGGCCGTGACAAATGGGACCTCACCAAATAGAGCCTATGAGAGCCGCTAAATACGGTAGAGCTCAGTTGGTGAAGATCACAAACACTGCCGCGTTTACGCGACGGTGTTTGGAATCGTTTACGCCGGGCCATGACCTCCACACGGCGCCGGCAACAAAACACAAAAATAATTTTAAAAAATGACAGAACGGAAAAAGCAAGCCGCATAAAAAAAATCTCTTGATCGATCCATAAAATAAAGTTAAGCAAGCAACAAAAATGAAACCTCACTAAATTCAGGCAGCAAAAAAAAAAAACGGGCAAAGCAAAAACGGCAAAAGAAAAAGGTAAACAAAGATAAGGCGTTCAAAGTGCGACCGTTGTTGTCGACACACTCAACTTCAGGAACACTTTTTTTTTTTTTTTTTGGCTTATTTTATTTCGGGGCTAAGGAGTCGCGCAGCGACAGCGGTGTTTGGGGAAAGAGCGCACGCTACCGTTCCAACAGCGGGCACTCACTGCCCTCCCTACGCGCACGCGTGCCCTTCCCCTTGCTTTTGCCACCCCCATCTTTTTTTTTTTTTTTTTTTTTTTTTTTTTTTACAACTGCTTTTTTGCTGCCCCATGCTCGTGTGCTGGCTTGGCGGTCTGCCAGCCCCGCAACACGAGCTATGTGCTCGCCGCTGGCAGTGCAATACGTAATCCGACTGCGGGAGAAGCCACAGGCGGCCGTGCTTTGTTCGCTATATGGAGTGTCCCACCATGGGAGTTCGATACAGAAAAAGAATGCTCCTATAGTATTACATGTGATTTTCAAGGGGATATTTGGACTGTTCGATATAAACAATAATTCTAAATACCCGAGTGTGATATAACCGGGCTTGACTGTGCTCCAAACGTGAAGGTCGTAAGAAAGTGTGCCTTTTCGCTCTAGCTCGGCTGTGATTAAGAGGAACTCTCTGCACTCCATGCGTACCTCAATTTCTTTAGGGTTAAGGAAACAATTGTACTACAGTATTTTCCGTTTAAAACTTAATGTTCTACCCTGTGCGGAACATAGATCGATTTGGCTTTTAAAATTGCTTGTTATTAGCATGGTTGTCATGATTATGCCGTTTCATGCTGGGCATTTGTCGGCGAGAAAAACTGACAATGTAAGGGCGTCGCTCGCGCCCCGACGCCCCACAAGCGACGCGCAAGATGGCTACAACCAATAGGACCACCTGGGCCAAGTTTGGTCATGATGGTACAAACCTGCTTGTGGTTGTAAAGTTATTGCTTGTAGTTGCAAAATCATTACCAAAATAATTACCGTAAAACACCGGGGAAGTGCCCACCCCACTTTCCCTGATAACTTGGTTAAAGGGGTGCAGAAACCAAATTCTCAACTCATTTCTTTGCATGAATATGACAAAGGTAACCAGTAGTACCTCAGACACATCAATATTTTGTCTGAAAATGAATTCAACGATAACCAAAAGCCACCTGATTGTTGGTTATAAAGCTTTAATGGGATGTCATGACAGCTTCGGCCTCCGACGGCAATGCCGCTATATAGCAAGTATGCTCACTAGTACAGATTACCTATGTAATCTTATAATAAACGAAAAATGGCGCAAGAACATGGTAGGAAGAAAACCGGGACAGGAGAGAGCAATCTTTTCGGTCTCTGTCTTCTTCCCACCAAGTTCTTGTGCTATTTTTCGTTTACAATGTTTAACCAACTAGACCATCAATTAATTTTAGTACAGAACATAATACCTAAGGTTGGGTGAAGAAAGCCAAAGCACAGTTGGCCACCTTGAATTCACTCCACCAGCTAATCGCTTCTACTCATTGTTTGACGTCACTGACAAACTATATTTTTCAACATGGCGCGCGCTGCTTTTAACGTCGCTCTCGCCAATAGACGCCGACCTATTGAAGTTACCCGGGCTTGTGTTGCAGAACTGTGCCGGTATCCACTTTTGTGCACGGTAGCTTCTGCACGACGATGTGAGAATTCAGCTATTGTCTCGCCGTCCAACTTAGTCGCCGCCGATGTGCGAAGTGCCCCCACCTGGACGATCTCAAAAGCCTCGTTGCACGAGACCAACAAAAGCGTTTCCGATCGCTTCTCTTTATTCGTTTAGCGTTTATCATTGAGACAAGTCACGCCGCAAAAAATCGTGGCAACGGAAGTGTTTTTTTGTGGTAGTTTTTAATGCGACAGTGTGAGAATTGTACAGTTGTGTTCTCTGTGCTCTGTGTCTTCGCTCGGAAAATCGCGTCCCGTCGTGACCGGTCAAACTTCCTCTACGCTGATGCCTTCCCTTCGTTCGTTTAGTGTTCGCCCTCGTTACAAGGAATGTCACAGGATCGTCGTGGTGTACGCGTTTCTTCGCGATGGTTATGACTATGCTGCAGTCACAACACAACTGATGTGATACGCCGCGTGAAATTCTTGAGCGATGCCACCTCTGTGCTGCCTCACCAGACTCTGCCTGTTTCCCTGCTCGCTTTAATAATGGAAGAATGCCAACTGGTATGGCGCCTTCAAGTCATTTTGATTAGTCGGTGGCAAATCAAGTAAGCAGCAATTGCCTCGTCCTACCAATGTTGCACATGATTCTTCCCTCACCTTAGACAACACGTGGTAGGAAATCTAGCAGCATCTCGCCTCGTGCGAGATAACAAAGGTTCTTCAGCCACCTCGCGACAATGTCATCCTGTTCAAGGAGCAGCGAGCTCGCGCCCAGAACCGACGTTGCTGATGCCGCCATACTGGCCAAGTCGCAAAGCAGACGACGCACTATGCGTTGTCATAGGCAACCTGCAATGCTGTTTAGTTTGGCGCCATCTAGCGACCGAAGCAAGAAATATTGGGTACCCCTGGGAGTGGCTGCTGCATTGTTTAAACGTGAGCTTTTACTCTGGTGGCGCCGCTTAGCCTAGTGTCCGAAACAAGAAATACTGAGTACCCCAGGACGCCGTGATCGCGTAACGTGCCAGTAGAGCGGAAGCTACGGCCCTGGCGGGCCAATAGGAACGTGACTGCGTATCACAGGAGCGCGCCTCAACTCCAAAGAAGTATCAGGCTTTTCGCTGCGTCATGCTCCAATATGTGTGTTGCGCTCGTATACGTCGCGCATTTCGAAGCCTTCGGCACGCAATGTGGGGCTTATCGTTCGTCCTTTTCCAAGTTACAACGAGACACGGTATAACCGTGCGCTCTCACCCTGCTGGCGCCGCCTGGCCATTGCCGGCTGGCTATAGTGCGCATGCCTCCGCCGGCTCCGCAATCTTTTGGTGATATGTTATAGCCCTTGGGCACTCAGAAATGCTATAGCCCTTGCTATAGCATTAGTGATGTGCTATAGCCCTTGGGCACTTTGTGGCGTCAACCCAGTAATGGGTTGACGCCACAATGTTTCAAACCTCATAATTATGGTACGCTTGGCCATAGGGAGGCCGAAGGCATCGTGGGCAAGTCACGGACGCGACAAATATTCTAAGACGCACCCCACTCTTTAACGGCCGATTTTGAAGCGCTCGCCAGAACTGAACATTTAGAACGAAAAATACAGCCATCGAATTGAAATACAAGCAGTGATTGACATTAGCAGATAGAGTTGATCATGTTTAACTAATTTCTGAACGTGAGAGGTATATATTAAGAAACAGCGCAGAAAGGACGAACACAAAGAAGAAGGACACAGGGCATACGTGATAAGTATATTTTAAGTTTCGATTCAGTACCCCTTTGAAGGGCAACTCCAGTCGAAAATGAAACCAAGATATATGACTGGTATCACTTTAGTGGAATGAAATATGATCACAATCGAAATTTTACGTCAAAGTGAAGATGTGTACTCCACTAAAACCGATTTTAAAGATGCGACCAGCTGCTCTTTAGTGGGCAGCAAGCAGGTTAGCTTTTAGTCGAGGAGCACTGGTGCAGCACCCTTGCGACGTAACGTCACAGTGGAGCTGCGGTTGATTGGTTGTACCGCATACCACAACACCGTTGTGATGTCACGTCACAGCCGTGCAGCTGGTGATCACTGTTGCCATCCCTCTAGCAGATAGTTTCAATTTTGCTGTAGACGCCCAAAACAAAATTTTGAGGCCTAATATTTATAAAACTACGCAGAATATTGAAAAAAACATCATACCTTGTAATTCAGGGACACTGAATTA